GGGGGGGGTTTTTTTTTTTTTTCCCCTTTTTCCCCTCTTTTTTTTTTTTTTTTTTTTTTTTTTTTTTTTTAGGTGATGAAGACATACCACATGTACCACAGTGAGAGTCTGAGTGCTGAGAGCAAGCTGAAGGAGGCAGAAAAACAGGAAGAGAAGCACATCGGCAAGGTGAATGACATCAGCGGCGGTCTGTTGCGTCACAGTCATGATGAGCGTCCCCAACGAAGAAGCTCCGTCCGGAAGATGGAAAAAATGAAGGAAAAGGTTTGTTTCTCTTGAAGCGAACACACATGATAAGGATTCATATCAGGGGCAAAAAAGATTATCCAAGCATAAACCATGAATGCACTTTAAATGAGATTGCTTCATTGCATCATTATGTATATGCAGAAATGATATACAGCTGGTAGAAAACTCTTGTCTTTGCATTGTGCCATACACTCAACACATACAGTACATTGACAAGTTACTGAGATAAAATCAATGTAATGTGGTAAGCTTTCTTTGAGCACATTAGGATGACACTTAACATCCTGCATTAATGGGACTCTTCCTTCCTCTTCCCTCCCCAGAGACAGGCCAAGTACTTTGAAAATAAGCTGAAGTGCACAAAGGCCCGGAACGACTATCTCCTCAATCTGGCAGCTACCAACGCCCTGGTGGCCAAATATTACATACACGACGTGTCGGACATGATAGATGTAAGTGAAAACCAGTCAAATCCAATGTTGTTCAGGCCTTTCGTTTGTTTAAACTTGACACACATTTTCCTTGTTTGTCAGTCTTGTGATCTGGGCTACCATGCAAGCTTGGCGCGCACCATGAGGACCTATCTGTCTGCTGAATACAGTCTGGAAACCTCTCGCCACGAAGGTTTGGATCTACTCGAAGGAGCCGTCGATGCCATGGACATTAGAGGGGACAAGCTAAGGTTTATGGACACACACAGTCAGATCTTCTGTCCTCCAGCACGTTTTGACTACCAGCCACACATGGGGGATGAGGTGAGTTTGATCCTGGTCATTTCATCGCCTTGATACTTTGTACTTTTTAGTCTACTTTCTACCACAGATCATTTTGTAGCAGCCATGCACACATTCAAATCCACCCAACCTTTCCTTCCTGCTTTGAGAACTGATGACTTAAAGTAAATTTTTATTTATTTATTTTTTACTCCTTGGTGACTGTAAGAAAGAGTGACTCCATTCAACAACATTCAAAAGCAGAAAGTTGCATGGGGTTGCTTTGGTTTGGGCTGGGATCTTAACCTCTGATATCTATAAGAGTTTTTTGGTGCAGTTCAATCAGAACCAAAACGTAATGTCATGCAAAGATTTTACTAAATTATTTGCAAGGAAATCTCACCATACATGGGCTTTGAGCATATACATTAACATTTATCACTACTAAATACTTGACTACAATGAATAGTGAGCCAAAACTGAATGATTTAATGACATAAGTGCAAAATAGGCGTGAAAGGGATATGGGAAGAGCAAAACACTTATGAGTGGGTGAGACTTGGAGAAGAGGCCTGGAGCTGGTGAACTGTCAGACATGAATGTTCATGGTTTTTATTCAGCCCTCCTTCTAAGTTCAATAAAATGTTCCTTTTTTTTTTTCTTTTCTAGGTGTGTCAGGTTAGTGCACAGCAGCCTGTCCAGACAGAGCTCTTAATGCGATACCACCAGCTGCAGTCTCGCCTGGCCACACTGAAGATAGAAAATGAAGAGGTGAGAGCTTCTGTGCACACAAATCTCAACTGTAGATTGCATCTGGAGGACAGGGATGGAAAGCTAAATTTGAGTCTTGCACAGAGAATACAAATTCATGCTTTAAGTCGTTGTGCCAGAAAAGGAAAACAAAAAAATTACCTTCACATGTTGCTAGACTACAAAAAGTGCTTCTAAATCAAATGGTATGATATAATTCTTAAAAGCCATAGCTTTTGACTCATACATTTATGTATTCATCACATCCTCAGCGATTCCCCCTGGGCGAATGATTAGTGCATTGTAATGCTGAAAGAGACTACTCCCTTTAGCATGATTTTCTTGTGATTCACTTAAAGTAAGCAGGCTAGTGACTTAGAATAATTCATGAACTCTATTTTATTTCTATCATTTAACGTTAATATTTTGCAGTAGCTGTTTGTTTTAGGGTCTTCATCATAGAGGATTCTTTTAATGCAAATGCTTGGCACAAATGAAACTTCGCTCCATTTAATTTGTTGATAATGGTGGATTCAAAAGCAACATTTTTTTTATGCAAAGCACCTTTCATATTTGGTGGCACCTGTGCTAACGATGCCAAAAAAGCTTAAGACAAACTAATCTTTTCCTGCAGCACCAAAACCTTCTACTTCAGAATTGCTGCTTTTCTTTAAACAATTATATACAATTATTATTGTTATTATTATTATTTTTTACCTCTGTTACCATCCTCCCTGTTGTTGGGTGCTGCAAGATAAGCTACCCTCCTAATCCTTTTAATTATTGCTCTGACTGGAGGTATGGGCACGTTTCGGCAAGTAGATATTTTTTGTAGCCAATCCCTGAATTACATGAACAGAATAGTAGCTAAGGGAAAATTGACCTCATGGTTTTTGCTACAGAATAAGATTAAAATATGTGCTTATAAACTACAATGCACTCATAAAATCTGTTGTAAGTCTGATAAACAGCTAAACCTAGGCTAAGTAGCTCCTGGTAGCTTTAAGTTTATTGTTTACTTGTTAACTTTACTCTTAACATTCTAAGCAAGGCATGTTTCCTAAAGATAAATCAATTTATTTCAGTTTAGTTTAGTACCAATTTTAAAAAAAAGCAGAGAAAAAAAGGAGCTTCCAATTTATACACGAGATGGATTGAAAGTCGGATACATACATTCCAATTCGATCCTCTTTATAAAACAAGGCAGTCATATTTATTTTATTGTTAAACTTGTAGAAGGTTATTTTTTTTTGTCATCCAAGGAAAATCAGCTGATTAAATTGAGTCACTGAATTTGGATCAATTTCTCCTTCTCAGAAAGAATATAGTGACAGCAGACAGCTGGTTGCATTGTTTCATTGACTTAATGCAACAATCCCTTGTACTGGTCTCCCAGTGGAAAGGAAAACTCGTCTTCAACAGGAAGAAACCTCCAGCAGAATCTTGACTCGGCGTCCTCCTGTGACTGAATGGTTGCTTAAGACAGCAGCGCACACAAAAATTCACAGCTGCACTGGTCCAGGAGTACTTTCTGTGCTAAAAAGTAAAAAGTTAATCACAACGGTAGCTTCTTTAAAGGTTTAATCCTGCAATGAAAATACAGCTTTGGGCTGTGAAATGTAAATCTTAAGAACAGTACACACAGTTGGTCGCAGTTGTTTTTTTGTTTTTTTTTAATGAAAGAGACAGAGATAGGTGTACCATTTTTGGCAAGAGATCATGTAGGTTATTGGCAGCAATAGCTAAGTTATATAAGTTGTTTCAGTCATCGTTCTGACTGAAATATAACTCAAACCATTAATGATTCTGCCAGATGCACAGTGAGACTCCATGATTGCCACTGTTTATTTATGTTTTTTTTTTTTTTTCTTTGTCCTCTACAGTGCTGCCACTGGCAACTACCTTGGCAAACAAGGTCAAAATTGTTAAAATATGCCAATTTAATGGTCACTATGCTGTGCAAATGTATCACAAATATGATAATTAGTATCTTGTTTCTGTAGACCTAACATGAAGTGTGAATCTTGGGTCACGATGGGTCAGGGTTAGGAATGGAGTTTCCTCAGCTATTGACAGTGTTCAAGGCCATAGTTAAGAAAATAATATATAATTTTTAGGATATGCATTTTGAAATGGATTAGATTTTGGTACAGTATTTTAGTATTCAATCTACATAAATAACTTGGTTTTTCCACATAAAATGCATATGAAAGAGGGACTGGATACTATGATGTGCTTGGATGTCTTTTATCAGGTTAAGAAGACTCTTGATGCCACCATGCAGACCCTCCAGGACATGCTAACTGTGGAGGACTTTGATGTATCAGAGGCCTTCCAGCACAGCCAATCCACAGAGTCTGTCAAATCGGCCTCCTCTGACTCCTACATGAGCAAGGCAAACATCACCAAAAGGCGAGCCAATCAGCAAGAGACCGAGGGCTTCTACTTCACAGTAAGTTAACAGATGACTGCAGAAAATACACAAGCATGCAGGCAAAAGGTTGTTTAAAAAATATCAAACAACATCTGTGGTACTATATCATTTTTTTTCTCCTTTTTGAACTGCAGAAATACAAAGAGTACTTGAACGGCAGCAATCTCATTGTTAAACTTCAAGCTAAGCACGACCTTCTGAAGCAGACGCTAGGAGAAGGTGAGAACATAAAAACCTTTTTTTTTTTTTTTTGTGCTGGACATTTGTAGAGAGGTAAGATCTGTAGCGATACAGAGACAGTCATATGGCCATGGTAATAGTCTGCCATCCCAGAGCGCTTATTATCCTGTGGGATTGGGTGATAATTGGCATAGGTGTGGATTTATGACTGATTCTTTAAATACAGAAAACATCTGCCCCACATATCCTGAATCACACACACACCCACCTACATATTAATGGAAAAAAAGGTGTGGTGTGTTCTAAAATGCACTGACTAACATCTACGCCATCCAGTAAATTTGTAAACAGTCGTTTCTATTTGTTATGGTAGACGACAAAGCCCAATAATCACCTGCTACAATTCCCCACTTCTGTGACATTAAGTAAGTTTTTTGCATACATACATGTCCTTAACGAAACCAGTGCATCAGCTGTTTAATTGGTGTCAAAGTTTTCTTCTTAGTTCAAACATACACAAAACGTTCAAAAGAGGGTCATTGATGCGAGACACTGTTTTTAGTTTTTCCTTTCAGATGTAAATAATTGTTTTTGGCTGAAGGTGCCAAATATATGTCGAAATAACAGATCAGAAACTTAGATTTATATCCATTGTTCTCAACTCCTAACAGTTGACGTGTCTTGGTCTGAGTAGAAAAAAACGAATGTGTTTGAGAAACATTCATTATCATCTTCTAGCTGTTTTACATCCTAATAAATTTCTATCTTTTCCCAAAGTTCTTAAAGCCAGTGCGCTACGGATTCATGAAATCGTCCAACTGTGCAAATCAGCTCCCTCAGCCTGCCTCTCCAGTTGCCCCTGGTTACATTTCCCGGTTTGCGGATGGAGAGAGTAGACAGGCCATCCCCTTCTGGGGCCGACCGCTGAATGACCGCTGTCTGGCAGCGAGTCAAATGCAGCTATGGCGCTCACCCCATTCAGTTTGGCTGAATAGATGCCCCCTTTTTCTTTACAACACCCCCTTTCTGTCTCCATCTGCCAGCCTTGTATAATCAGCCTGCACTCAACCATACCACTAACTGCTGTGACTGTGAACTAGCTGATTCTAATTTGGCCTCTTTTCCTCTGCTTCCTCTGCTTTTAGGGGAGCGGGCTGAATATGGAACAACAAGGTAAGATGTTCAGTGACAAGAAGGTGAATGAAGTCGGTGCTGATGTGTAAAATCCTTCCTGTGTCTCCAGATTTAGTTAAAATGAGACCAAAGTGTGGGAATAAAGGGATTCTTAAGATTTTTAAGTCTTGTTAAACAACCTCCTATTTGTTTTATTTGCAAAAAAAACAAAAACCTTCTACTTGACTAAGTTTAATGAGACAAAAATGATGAACTATTAAAATGGTTTAAAATTATCTAAATAATTATCTTTACTTATTTAACCATTATTTTACCAGGAAGTTGGCTGAAATAAAATCTCTTTTCCAAGGGAGAGCTGACCAAGAGGCATGCCAGTGTACAATGTGCAAAACTATAAATGCAATGTGGTTTTAGTTTTAATTTATGATACATTTTATAAAACTTTAATATTTTATGTATTACTTTATGAAATAATTCTTCAGTGACTTGCATAAGTATTCATACCCTTTGAGCTTACATCTTATATTTTGTCATATGAAAACAAAACATTTTGATGAAAACAAATTATCTCTAATCTACGTTACCATGTGGTTGTGAGTTCATCATGCTGTGGAAAACATTTTTCTCCACCAGTGCCAGAGAGACTGGTCAGGGATGGATGGGAGGGGAACCTGTTGGACTGGGGCAGAGATTCACCTTCCAGCAGGAAAACTGCTCTAAACATCCACCCAGAGCTATGATGAAATTGTTTACATCAAAGCAAATTGATGTGATAATGGCCCAGTCAAAGCTCAGATGTAAACAAAAATGAGGATTTGTGGCAGGAGTTGAACATTGATTTGCACATACACTCTCCATGCAGTCTGACTGAGCTCGAACTGTTTTACAAAGAGAATAAGCAACATTTTCCAAGTGTCTTGATGTTTAAACTAGTAGAAAGAAACATGAAAAGACTAGCAGATGCAAATGCAGTGAAAGCTTGCAATATGACGTCTGTAATTGGGGAAGTTAAATGTCTGGCACACTTTTTAGATCTTTATATTTACATACAATTGAAAACAAAACATTTATTTTCCACTTCGCAGCACTACTGTGGTCTATCACATAAAACCCCCAAAAGTATGTTGACGCCTGTTGCTGCAATGTGACGGTGTGAACAAGTTCTAGTAAAACGAGCACTCCTTCAATCCACTGTAACATCTAAGTAGTCTGTATTAAAGAAAACCCAGTTGATAATTCAGGTATGCTTCTTTCTGTTGATTCACATTAAATGTTTAATGAAAAGTACTAATGTCTCTGTCGTGAGACCGTGTGCTGCGGGTTTAGGCAACACTAAACATCCTGTTAGTTTACCTTATCTGTGCTTGCAGCAGAAGCAGAAAGACAGAAAACCTCAAGCAGCTAGTAAAACCACAATGTGTCACGTTCTTTTGCTTTGGTTTCTTGGCATGCAGAACACTGAAGCTTTCAGAGGATAGCCAACTTTTCTAAAGATGACAGCTTGCACACGCTTATCATTCGCATGGAAATGATGCCGAAATGTTTTTGTCTTTGGAATTGTTGAAGTCTGAAAAGACCTTTACACTCAGTACTAAGTGAGAAACGGAAATGAGTAGCAAATGGGTAATATTAATAATGTGAACATTTCATTTACTGTCAGTCTTCTTAAAAAGGCACAAGATAAGATACTAAACAGAAACAACTACGCAGTGCCATTGAGTAGAAGTAGTGTTATAAGTTTGCATCAGAAAGGAAGGAAAACTGATCACAGCTTGCATTTTTTTCAAATAATTGTAGCTTATTTTCTAAATTTCTTTAGTATTTGAAACTGTTATTCACATGATCAAACTTTAATATGAAACCATTGGGATACACTTTGCCAGATTTTGATAAATTGGAGGGGGGGAAATAACCCCACTGTTCTCTTTCTAAGCTGCAGGGCAAAATGGGCAAAATGTGAAAAATGTCAAAATGCATCTGAGTTTGTTAGTGAAGTATATTTGCTTTTTTTTTTTTTTTTTAAATAGCTTTTAAAAACCTAGAATTTGTTTCAGCAAAAACATGCTGCATGTTGATAAAAAGCACAAAAGCATCTTGTGGATCAAGGTTGCTTAATGTTACCATGGTAACTCCACAAGCAGTTCCCATGCATCATTGACCATTTAAAATGCATCACAGTGTTCAGGTCCAAACTTGTTTAGCTGAAGGTTTAAGAAAATGCTGACCATCTTAGAGTAGTCCACATTCTCCATTATTTTATTAAATCATTAATTGTTGCACTGTCAGCAAAACAACTCGGAGCACGAAAATACAACCACCATGTTTGACAGCTAATACAAAGTTCCACCCTTAATATTTTTATTGAAATATTATGAGCAACCTTTCTATTCTCAGAATAACCGATGAAAGCAATCACTGAAACACCAGTATTGTCATAATTTTTTATCGTCACACAATTATTTGTAAAGTTACTGAATTACAGTCTCTCCAGTTCCAATACGTTTCAGTTTAGTGCAAGTGCTTGAAGTGTAAACGGTTATTTTATCTTCATTACAATAAAGTTGTAAATAATTATTAATTATGTTCATTTTTCATCATCAAATTTCTGCTGAAGCTCATTTGGATGCATTTAAACATCTGATATGAAAAATGTTTTAGAAAATATGTTGGTACTTTTACATGCATGATGTATTTTTTTTTATTATTATCATTCAACGCTGTAATCCCTGCCATCTCCCCAGGCCCCCCACTCTTCCCCCTAAACCCCAGAGAATGCGGAAGTGTAGACCTCGTTCCATTTTTAACCGTAAGCTGTTTAACGGCAATATGGAGGCCTTCATTCAGGTATCAGCCCATCTGTGCCCTTTGTTTCTCCATGAGCTCAGCTGTCCCACTGGCTGCCCTTTGGTGGTAGTGGTGCTGGGGAGGAGGGGCGTCTTTTTGCTTGTGACCACTCTCTTATTCAAACGTTGTTTCGCTCATGCACTTTCCTCTTGCTCAATGCATTGTCTTCGGTCTTAAAGCAGTTAAAAACGTGATGTGGAAGACGAGTTGTTTTATATTCTTAGTCTTGTGAGCCTCCGGCTAGCAGGCACTGAATTAATTTGGCTTTATGCGGGCCAGTTGGCTATGCTAATAAACACATGGGCATATTTTCTTGGCGGCTGCAGCAGCGCCCCACAACAACAGCATCAATATGAAATCGCTGCTTAATCAGCTACTAAATTTATCAAAAACACATTTCAACCACAGATAATGCTGGTTCTTCCTTAGCAAAAAGTAAATGCGCTAAGTTATTATTACCCTCATAACCACTTTTATTAGGGTAACAATAAAACTGATTGAGTCCTTAATAAAATAGACAAAATTTGAACCAACATGTCTTTCTAGCAGGCATGTGTCCAAACCCGATGCAGGGTTTCTGCTCATTCTTGAAAGGTCTGAAATTGTATGGTATGATTTTGAAAATCTGGACAAGTATGGAAAGTAAAAATTGGCTTTAAAGAAAACCACACATTCCAGGCATGATATCTTATTGTTTTATATAAAACATGAGATTTTTAAAAGATACAAATCAGAATTTTAAGAAAACTAGGGTATTGCTACATTGATTTATATTCAGTTGACTTTTATATTTGATTTACCACAACATAAGTTGAGTTTGTGTCACACTGCTTACTAAACACACGCAGTCATTCAGAAATAAATAAATGGATTATTTCACTGTTTTTAGTTGCAAAAACAGCTAAATAAATGAACTTGTCCATTCTTGATTTTTGTTCAGCTGGGATGCGAAAAGCAAAGTATTGAAATTTCTTTATGTGGTGAAATGACTTCTCACAAGTTGTGAGTTATAGATTATCTTTGTTTCGATTTAGGATATTGTAGTGTAGATTTTTACATTCAAAATGCATTTTTTACTGCCCCTAATTGGTCCAGATGTCCAAAAAGCAACACAATAGCCTTTTGTCAGTTTCACTGCCGCGTTTCCTGATTGGTGGAAATAAATCCACCAATCAGGATTTATTAGTGTTTTGTTGTCAGATGGCATGCCAAAACATATTTCTAGAAAACGAGTCTGAATAAGTGTACAAATTTGAAATAAAAAACATTTTTGTAGGAGCCCTGCCAGTGCTCTGCGGCAGCAACTTCCCCTTCCTCACCTTCCTCCCTCAGGCCGTGTCCTCCTGTCTCTCACCCCACAAGGCGCTGAAGCTTTGGCTGCTCTCTCAGGCCAGGCCTCTGTTAAGATCTGTCTCTCTGTCTCTTTCTAATCTTTTGTGGTTCCTTCTCCTGCTCTGTCTCTCCATGCCTTACTGCTCTCTGCCCAGGGGAAGAAGAAATGTCCGTGCCAGGAGTCAGGTACTTTGTCTTTAAGCAGGGTGGGATCGTCTCTGTGGGTTTTGTTTGCTTGCTGATGTTTCTCTGCGTTCTTTTCCTGTTCTTGTAAAAATGCTCTTTTGTTTTAAAATGCTGCATGTTGGTTGGTACATATTCTTGTTCAGATATATTCTGTGACATGTATATTTGATACACTTACCATAAGTTATTTAGTTTTATGTTAATTTAGCTGTTAATGATTATAATGTCCTACAAATATCATAAATTAATAAGATTTCTTTTTTAGAGTTCCTACATATTAATTTATCACCTGTTACTGTCGTTTTCATACCTCCAGTCACTCTGATGTATCTCTTCATGTAGGATTCAGGGCAGCCTATACCAGTGGTGGTTGAGAGCTGCATTCGATACATCAATCTGTACGGTAAGTTTCAAGTTCTCTCCATCGTAAAGAGGTTAAAGTGTAGTTTCTGCAAATGCTATAGTTTAATTTTCCTTTTTTTTTTGGCATTTTATGAAATAGATGTGCATTCACAATGTCACCAACGACCAAATATATTATGAACTTTCCCTGAGTAGGTCATTTGACTGAGGTTAACACAATGAGTTATGTTTTCATTTGTCAAAAAAACGTCATAAAATATTGTTTGGGGAAAAATTAAAATAGATTTTTCATTTTTTGACCAAAATTGTTCTGTTGCTTGTTTTCAAGTTTGTTTGTTTTCCAAGTCTGTTCAAGCTAAAATTCTGCATGCCTCTTTCAAAATACATTGTTTTCTTATGCACATTTTATTATTGTTGCATTTGTCCACATTTATTTGTAATATAACAGCGCTGGTGCTATTTTTAAGTAGCGTTGATATCGATACCTCCCTCTTTTCACCTCAACGGTTTTATCCATCCACAGGTCTTCAGCAACAAGGCATATTTCGGGTTCCAGGATCTCAGGTCGAAGTCAATGACATTAAGAATGCATTTGAAAGAGGTTAGTCCCCAGGTTGCCTCCATATCTCCCCTTGATCGATTTTAAATTACGTTTTGCCCACCTGAAAAGCCACTGTAACTCTCACAGGACTCTAAAGTGCAATTGAGAGGGCTGCAAGTCGCTTGTAGCACTTGTTATGGACATGTAAACCACCTAATGCATAAAACATAGCATCCTGAAATAATAATAAATGAGCAAGAATAATTGCGTTATGGCGCTCTAATTTGACGTACATATAAGATTGCATCTGAGCCATATTAGATGAAAGCGGCTCCAATGAATGGGTAATTAGAGGATTAAGAGTTTGGTTCGTCTGCAGGAGAAGATCCACTAGTGGACGATCAGACGGATCATGACATCAACTCCGTAGCAGGCGTCCTCAAGCTCTACTTCCGAGGGCTGGAAAACCCGCTTTTCCCCAAAGAACGTTTCCTCGACTTCATCTCCACCACCAGTTAGTCTCCTTACAGGAGAAACCATCTGAAATACACTGAACTATCCAGTTGGTCACTGAAATTGTTTCATGTGCGGTCTGTTTATTTATCCATTTTCCCCAGAACTTGATTCTGGTGGCGAAAGAGCTCATCATCTCCAGCAGATAACTGTGACCCTACAGCGGCCCGTGATCATCGTCATGAGATACCTGTTTGCTTTTCTCAATCAGTAAGTTCCTTCACAGCAACAGCTAAAATAAGCGTTATTGAGACTGTTTTACTAAACGCCGCCATCTCTTCAAGTCTTTCCCAGTACAGCGACGAGAACATGATGGATCCCTACAATCTGGCTATCTGCTTTGGCCCCACGCTGATGCCCATACCGGACGACCAGGACCCCGTGGCTTGCCAAGCACACGTTAACGAGGTCATCAAGACGATCATTATCCACCACGAGGCCATCTTTCCGAGCCAGCGGGAGTTGGAAGGACCGGTCTATGAAAAATGCATGGCAGGAGGTGAAGAGTACTGGTAGGTGCACAGAAATCGAGCATCTTAAAGCCTAAACATTAGATTCTCGCCAATACCAGATCTTATTCTTTTGCTTGAAAAGTGCAGACACATAAACAAAACCATGTTGTCAAAAACAAACCAAGTTGTGCATTTAAATCTGATCTTAAACTAAAGACAGAAAAAGTAACATTTGGTTGTTATAGAACATAGTTATGTGTCAGACAAATTTGTTGAATTTACATCTCAGTTTACCTGCAGCTTAAATCTGCAAATCAAATTTCAGACTAAAGGAGCAAACCTGCATGTGATCTAACTATTAAAGCCCTAAAAGCTTAGAATGATGTATTTTTTACATATTTGGGATTCTTTTCTCTTTTTTTATTCCTGATTCTTTGCATTTCTTTTTGCTTGCGCAGTGAAAGCCCTCACAGTGAGCCAGGAGCTCTTGACGAGATCGACAACGGGACCGGGCCAAACACAAGTGATGAAGGTCAGACACGAGCGCAGTCGATGCACTGTCAAGGTCCCGGCTGTGGCATTTCCAGCTTACTGTGAAAATAATGAGATTTGTTATATATATATATAGAACTCTTTCATGTGTCGACTCCTGCAGAGTTCGAGCCAATCGAGGCCATCGCCAAGTTCGACTACGTGGGGCGAAGTTCGAGGGAGCTGTCCTTTAAGAAGGGAGCGTCTCTGCTGCTGTACATGAGAGCGTCTGAGGATTGGTGGGAGGGCCGGCACAACGGTGTGGATGGGCTGATCCCGCATCAGTACATTGTAGTGCAAGACATGTAAGCTTGATTTGTTGGTTTTATGGTGTAAAAATTATCTAAATAAATGGCTATCATGTAAAAGTCTGTAACACATTTTATAATAAATGAAACCATTATTATTTTTCAAGTGTTTTCTTTTTCTTTCAATACATTTTGATTCTCATAGCATAAAGCTAAAGAAAATCCACAGAATATTGCATAAGATGAATATTCTTATTCGATATATTTATTTTATTTATTTATTTCTTGAATAAATATATTGCATTCTACATTGCCTACTCTTAGCATGCGAGCATGGACATCTGCTGAGTTGTTAATGAGGCCCGGGTTGTTTTAATGGCAGCCGCTCGCGCATATGCATTGTTGGCTCTGGTGTCTCTTATCTTGCTGATGGAAAATACCCTACAGAGGTTTAATTCATAGAAGCACGATGCTAATATGATCATAAAAGTAACAAGTAAAACGTTTGGATTATATTAATTTATTGGGATGGACATGTACAGATCAACAACCGTAGCAGTTTAATTTGTGAAGTGAAGCTTTATTGTTTCGAGATTCATGTTTGCAAACTTTTGTTTGATAGAAAAGTATTACTAAAGACCCATCGCTGTCTCTGCATTTCTTACTTCTTTTGCAATTTTAGTTACAGAAAAAAACAACAAAAAATCAGAAGAAGGAAGAATTTATAATTTGACAAGTCAGTGTTCAAATAGTGTTGCTTTCACTTCCAGCCATTTATCCTTGAAAACCAAAGCTTTATCTCCCAGCATGTAACTTAATCAAAGCTACATTGTTGAGCAAATTGAATTAGGTTGTGTACATGATCGGTTCATTTGTACTGTGGAAACGTGGACTCACTTTGGAGATTAAATGCTTATGTTGGGTTATAATGAGTTCTCTAGGTGTTTCAAGACCAAGTAGTCCCTTAAGATTGAATAAGCAATGTGAAAACGTCACTAAAAAAAGAACATAATCATGAAGATTTATTCCTCGTTTCACAGGGATGATGCTTTCTCAGACAGCATTCAGAGGACAGAAAGTGAGACCAGCAGTGGATCTCACTATGATGACAGGACGTCGTCAAGAAATGAGCGTCAGTCTCCTTGTGACCAGGCTGCTGAGAACCGGTTTGGACCTGCATTAGGAAGGTGAGGTTTACTAGACGAGGTACCTCCACCTTCTGGAAAAGTCTGACATTTGATGTCAGTATTTTCAGGATCTGGAAAAAAAACTAAATCAGAAGAGGGAAATATCTGTTGTTCCAGACTTATTATCTCTGTTGTCTTAATGTTGTTACCTTCCTTCTATCCTTCCGTTTTTCTGTCCTTCTTTTCTTAATTGCACCTTCCATCATCATAAGCTTTTGTTTTCTTCTATGTTGTTTTCCCTCATGTCTTTTCCTTCCTTCTTTGGTCTTTGCGCCCTTATTTCTTTCCATCCTTTTCCTACATCTCTTCATAGTGTCATTCTTATTTTCATTACCTTCATTCTTTCCATCCATCCTTCCTTGTTTTTTTTTTTTTTTTCCCTCAGGTTACTTAAAGCGAGCCCACTTAAGAAGTATCTATCACAACTTTATAGTGGGCTTTACTGTGTATATATATATATATATATATATATATATATATATATATGATAAAATGAACAAATTGGCCTGAAAACCTGTATTTTCGTGAAAGGCTGGAATATTTATATGAAAGCCTTATGGGAACTCCAAGTAAAATAGCATGAACAAATAATATATGATCATAAGTGAAAAAAATTACATTCCAGTTAACACAAAGAAGTTAATTTCTCTCCTTTATAATCCCATTGTGTCAGGATAAGAGTGCGATCAGATGGAGCCGCAGTTCCCCGTCACAGGAACAACGGTGCTTACAGCCACAGCCCCACCAGGGCTGCTGACCAGCCGCCCAGGGTAATGCCGCGCCCCTGCAGCCCGCACAAGATCGCCGTCAGCAGGGCCCACGTCGACAGCCCGGAGAAGCGCCGCCTCACCACGTTCGGCAGCTCGGGCTCCATCAACCACCCCGATAGGAAGGCGTTTGTCGAGAGTCACTCTCAACGGTCATCACCAAGCACGACGCGGCACGCCAGTTTAGGGGACCATAAAGCCATGGAGGCCGAGGCGCTCGTGGAGGTGAGGGCCGCAACGAGTTATCGAAGTGCAGTTGAGTCGACTCACTTTTTTTTTTTTTTTTTTTTTTTTTTT